TTCCCTTTGCTTCTGCAATGGCCAATCCTCTGACAAACCTGAAGTTATCACAGTTCCAAAACAGACATGGAAGATCACTGAACCACTGCCTTTGTGGCACAGCCATCAGCTCTGCTTCCCAAAGTACTCTGCTTGCAAACATTATCCTGTTCTTTCTACCTCTAGGCACCATTTAACTCTTAATAACTTCGTTCAGCTCCATTTTTCACACTCCTCTGCCCCTGTATATTCCTTCAGGTGAACTGCTATGAAATCTAGTTGAACCATCTTCATTCTATCTTATTTAACTGCAGTGTGAGTTCATTTCCTGCATGAAAAGCACACACACACCAGGGTTTCAGTCACTGCTCTGTTGAAAGCATGCAGATTCATTACCTGAGTCTTCCGAAAGCACTGGCATGGCTTTGTTTGTAATCTTAGACACAAATGTTCAACTTAAATCAACACGACTGCTTCTTCTTTCTGGACTGAGAGTCAGAGGCAGTTCTGAAATCAGCAAAGAATAAAAATGTAAGTTCAAGCACGTGAGAAAAAGGGAGATCATGTAAAAGCAGTCATTTACCACTATACATTTTTCTGTTTGGTTTAACCTGAGTCAGGCACAACCCTGCAGTTATTCCGTGCATGCAATAACACACAATAAAGTAAGATACTGTGTTATATAATAACATCTTGTACAAAGCTGATGGCAAAGTGAACAGATGCTTCCCTGTTCTATCCTCAAGAGAGCCACAGCTTTAAAAGGCCTAAAGAGTCATTGAAAAATGAAAAGAGAAAGCACGATACAGAATGGAAGGCTGAAAACACTGATCAGCACCACATGCACAGGAACAGAGTGTGCAGGATGATGCTATCATGAGATGTTCTGGCATTCCAATGCAGGCCGTGCTACAATTAGAAGCAACTCATTAAAGCTAGCAGGAGTCAACCTTGGGCATGGTAATAAGGATGCTACAAAAATTACAGCTGACTACAAAAATCCGTTGTACAAAAAAAAATTCCATTGGATGCTTTTATAGCTGACTTCTCTGGAGGGCAAATGACTCCGGAAAATCTACATTTCAAAGAGCAAAACTGAATCATAGAATCATAGAATGGCCTCGGTTGAAAAGGAGCACAGTGCTCATCTGGTTCCAAACCCCCTGCTGTGTGCAGGTCACCAACCAGCAGCCCAGGCTGCCCAGAGCCACATCCAGCCTGGCCTTGAATGCCTGCAGGGATGGGGCATCCACAGCCTCCTTGGGCAACCTGTTCCAGTGCCTCACCACCCTCTGGGTCAAAAGATTCCCCCATAATATCCAACCTAAACCTCCCCTGTCTCACTTTAAAACCATTCCCCCTTGTCCTGTCACCATCCACCCTCACAAACAGCCGTTCCCCCTCCTGTTTACACTCTCCCTTCAAGCACTGGAAGGCCACCATAAGGTCTCCCTGGAGCTTTCTCTTCTCCAAGCTAAACAAGCCCAGTTCCCTCAACCTCTCCTCATAGGAGAGCTGCTCCAGCGCTCTGATCATCAAAGCAACACACTTATTTAATTAACTTTCAAGGTTGTTTGTACTACACACTGCTTTACAGAAATAAGCACATTCCATCCTCTATCCCTCACTTCATGCCAGAACAAACATACACCCAATTCATTCAACCAGTTTGGTTCATTCACTACTCCATTTCACTTGACATTTACTTAACGTGTTCTCTGATCATCAATAAAGTCAACTTCAATTGCCTGTTGTCTTTGTTAGAATACGTGCATCCCCCAGCCACACTTATCGAGCACCAAAACCAAAGCAAACAAACTTGTCTTCTAGACTCTTAATCCAAAAGCATCCTGACCAGGAGCCTGGAAAACTGCTTTAACATCTCAAAAACCCAACAGAGAACTGTGGGTCACCGGATTGGTGTTAGAATGGATGTTTCTCCCAAGGGACGATCCCATGCTCTGTAAAACCCCACCAGGCTGTGCTGCTGGGCTGAACGCTCAAAGGAATGCCGTGCATCCCGTGCCCAACCATTAACTGCTGGTGTTCTCAAGGCACTAAACTCAACCCCAGGCACTCGGCACGTTGCAAGGGAGGCTGAAAAACCAAAGTGCCCTTTTTGCGCATGGGCTCAAGTGCCCTTTTTGCCTAAAATCCCCCACCCCGTGCCATGAACTCCTTTTGTAGAGCGCCCTGATGGACGAGGCCTGCTGCCCACGGGCACAGCGACGGCACAGCCACCACCTGAGGGAACGAACCTGCTGCGGTTCAGCCTACGGCGGGCTCCTCTAACCTACAGGGCCGAGGGGGGAAACTGCTCACGCCAGAAGGCGGACATCAGCCCAGCGAGGGGAGAGATCGCTCGGAGCGGACGGCGGCTGCAGCACGGCACAGCTCCATCCCGCTCCGCCCGCACACCCCGCTCCATCCCCGCACCCTCAGCCGCGCTCTGCAGTCGCCTCTCGGCCGCCCCGAGCGCTGCCCCGCGCCGCTCTCCATCAGCCCATCCCCGCACCTCAGAGCCCGGCCCCGCCCGCCCGCAAAATGGCGGCGCCGCGGTCCCTCAGCGTCACAGCCGTTACCTGCGGTGCGGGCGCGAAGCCCCGCGTTGCGCTGCGCTGCCCGTCCCGACGGAGCAGCTCCCGCCTCCCGCGCTCCGCTGCCGGCCGCGCTCATGCGCTCCGAGAGCCGCAGACGCACCGCCCTCCTCCCCTCCCCCGAGCTGCCGGGGGGGCGGTGGGAAAGGCCCTCAAGACGAGGGCTTTGAGAGCCCGCCGCCTCCCTGGGCAGCCCGCGCGGTGCTGTTACCTTTACTGTGAAGAAGTTTTTCCTCATGTGAGGCCTGCTGTGTTCCAGCTCGCACCCACTGCCCCTCGTCCTGTCGTTGGATGTCGATGAGAAGAGCCTGGCTCCATGCTCCCGACGCGCGTCCTTTACATATTTATAAATATTAATGAGGTCACCCCTCCTTCTCCTCCAAGCTAAAGAGCCCTAGCTCCCTTGTCAGGGAGATGCTCCACTCCCTTCATCCTTTCTGTGGCTCTGCTATCGGCTCTCCAAGCAGTTTTCTGCCCTTCTTGAATCGAGGGACCCAGAACTGGACACAATATTCCAGATGCGGTCTCACCAGAGCAGGGGAAAGGGGAGGAGAATCGGTCTTTCCCTGCTAACCTCAGCCCTGCTAATGCACCCCAGGATGCCACAAGGGCACAGTGCTGTGAGGGTCACCCTGCTGTACCCACAGGTTCCTTTCCTCTATGCTGCTTTCCAACAGGTCAAACCTACGCTGGTAGCTGGGGTTGTTCATTGCCCAGCATTGGAAAGAGCAGCGGAGTCATAAACGCTGGATAAGACCTCTCAGATCCCCAGGTCCAACCCCAACCCACCCCCACCATGGCCCCAAGTGTCACATCCCCATCATTCTGGAATACCTCCAGGGATGGTGACTCCCCTCATCCCCTGGGCAGCCTTTGCCGGTGCCTGACTGCTCTTTGGAGTAGAAATTGTCCCTAATGCCCCACCTGAACCTCCCCTGGTGCAATGTGGGGGCACATCCTCCTTCAAACACAAGAACATCAGGTTGGCCACGACTGAAGGTGGCATCTACAGGCAAGCTGCACAGGTCTACTGCTGGTTAACCTCACACCCACCCTGCTGTACTCAGAGCAATCTTGCTGTTCTAGAATACAGCTTCACCAGCACACATAGCGGTGAGCAATGAGTGCATTGCTGAATAAGGCACGAAGTGCTGCATTTGTGCAGTGCAAGCAGCCCCTGCACTGAGCAGCGTGCTTCCCCCACAAGCTGGAGATTCACCTTCAAGGAAACTGAATCCCTCTTCTTTTGAACTGGGTGACCACCATCATCTTCGAAAGCCTGAAAGCATGCAGAACCGGCAATAAGTGAGGCAGGAATTTTAGAAAACCTCAGTTTCAACTTTGATGTCTACAGCCTTTGTACGAATGTAACCCATAATCTCTAAATAAACTCCATCTAGTTAAGCTGAATCTGTCTAAAGTGGGATTTATGTCACTGACAGCAAGCAACATCCAAAATAATGCTCCCTCCCCACATACTTGTAATCTGACTTTAGATGTAGCATGCAGAGATTGAGGAAGAGTTTAAAAAAAAAAAAGAAAGAAAGAAAGAGAAAGAAGAGCAATGATCCCTAATGTCTTAATAATCATTAAACCATCAGGGCTGACGTGTTTTGTCCTTGTGTATTGCTGTGGAAAGGATTGGCTGAGGGCGTTTGAGAGGTTTGGGGGATTTTTGTTTTCCTTTAAGGAGATGGGTGATGGAACACATTGCAGAGTGAGAGAACAATGAAAGAAATGCAGACACTGCTCCCCAGGGCTGAAGATGGAACAAACAGGCTTCTATCGTGTGGTGTGAACATCTTAAAGATCCTTCTGTAGCACACAGTAAAACACTGACATTAAACTCTGCACACACTAATGGCTTATTCAGAACTGAAGCAACACACAATTACCAGTGATTATAGGCTGTTTTCTAAAAATGCCAATAAACACCAGCCACTATCTTATAATGAGAATGATTTGCCAAAAATCAGGTGCTGGAATGAGTGACTTGAATTGCAGTGCTGCTCTTATGTAACTGAGAATTAAAATACTAATTATTTTTGAGGAGGAAAAAACACTTTTTAAATATTAATATGCTGGGCAATAAAAATCACTAGCCTAGCCCCAATTAGAGCTTCTAACACAATTAATAATTGCCAATTTCGGATCTTTTCTGTCCATTAAAAAACATGAGAACTGCATTAAAATCACTTAAGCTCTTCGGGAGCTCTTCTGAACAGCATCTCTGCTAATTGGACCATAAACACAAATGCACAACTCGTAGATGTAATTACTATCTAATTCTGATAGATAAGACCTCGTTTGCCTTTGCAATCTTTATTTTCATTTAAACTCAGGCTAAGCATTAGCATGATCGCATCCCTTTAAACGCTGACCTATTTCAGGAATTCCCTTTAAAATCCCGGAGCTGCCGGCAGCTCGGCCTCTCGGCGGATGCCTGGCTGCCGCTCCCGTCATTATTCTCACTCCGCTACCCGGCTGCTACAGCGAGACGAGGTTGGGATACAGCAGGGCGCCGGCTGCGTGGACCAAAGCGGGGCTGCCAGGCGCTGGGGGGGAACCTCACTGCCATCCCGATCCCCTGGGACTCAGCGAGCTCCGCTCCGCCCCGCTGCCGCCCACCGGCCCGGCTCTCCCGTCGGCTGCGGGCAGCGCTGGCGGCGGCTCCGGCTGAACGGGAATCCCTGCATCCCACATCCCGGCGAGGGCATGGCTGCAGTGAGGAGGAAGTTCGGCGATGAGTACCAGGCGGTGGGCCCGGCTGCTGCCGGTAGCCGCAGAGAGCGGCAGCGCTTTGTGGACAAGAACGGACGTTGCAACGTGCAACACGGGAACCTGGGGGGTGAGAGCAGCCGTTACCTCTCCGACCTCTTCACCACGCTGGTGGATCTCAAATGGCGTTGGAACCTGCTCATCTTCCTGCTGACCTACACGGTCGCCTGGCTGGTCATGGCTTCCATGTGGTGGGGCATTGCCTACCTGCGAGGCGACCTGCACCGGGCACACGATGACACCTACAGTCCGTGCGTGGCCAACGTGTACAACTTTCCCTCCGCCTTCCTTTTCTTCATAGAGACCGAAGCCACCATTGGCTACGGGCACCGCTACATTACCGAGCGCTGCCCTGAGGGCATCGTGCTCTTCCTCTTCCAGTCGCTGCTGGGCTCCATCGTCGACGCGTTCCTCATCGGCTGCATGTTCATCAAGATGTCGCAGCCCAAAAAGAGAGCTGAGACCCTCATGTTCAGCCGTGCTGCAGTGGTCTCGCAGCGCGATGGCAAGCTCTGCCTCATGTTCCGGGTCGGCAACCTCCGCAACAGCCACATGGTTTCTGCCCAGATCCGCTGCAAGCTGATCAAGGTGAGGCCTGGAGTGGAAGCAGGATGAGGCAGCAGGTTGTGGTGGGTGATGCTGGGAGAGCACGGGTCGAGAGAAACCACTTGCCCCAAGAGCAGCCAAGCTGCCCTGAACCCCCTTTTTGTCCCTCGGGGGGCTTTCACTTGTAGATCCTTACCCCATGGGTCCTGCCTGTGGCCTTCCAGCACTGCAGAGCTTGAGTGGAAAAGCCTTTGATTTTCACTGCTATCTATCTATTAAGCACTGACAAGGGTCAGTATAATTCAGAATGCAAAAAAAGGACTGGAACTCAAATTCAACTAATAGATAAATAGAGGAGGCAGAACTGTTTGGCAGCCATGGGAGACCTCAGATACACTGGGCAAGAATAGAATAGGAGGAAAATACTGTGTGGTTGAGTGGTATGTCGAGAGGAAGCAACAGAACAGCTCAGAGCAGCTGTGTCTTGTCACAGGGGCATGCCTGATGGGCTGCATCAGCAGCTGAATCCTGATGATTATGTTAATTTCAGAATATGAATGTCATAAATGTTTCATGTTCTCTGTGGTAATCCTCTTTTCGGAGCAACTGCTTGGTCATTTTAATAATCTGCAGAAACAAGCCTGATACAGTAGCTGATAAGACAACAGTAAATGTGAAGGACTGCTTTTCCTCTGCTTTGTGCTGAATGCTTGACTTAGCTGCTAATTTTTCTTGTCAAAGAGTTCCTTTTAAAATGGAGCTCTACTAAGATTCAAAAAGCGGTTGGATTTGTACATGAAAAAGAACTGCTGAGAATTACAATGGAGCATTTTTGTAGGAATCAGAAAGCCAGATAATCCATTATTTTTGCTGATTTCTAGCACCGAAAATGATCAGAAATCCTCCTTTTAAAGTATTTATTTCTGGCCATCATCCAAGATGGAATGCAAGTCAAAGCAGAACAGGAGCAGTTTCACAGCTGTGATTTTTACACTGATGGCAATTCACTGTAAACTTCTTGGGAAATGACACACTGAACACACAGCCTGGTGCACTGCTAATAATTCTATCGCTGCACAAAGCTGGTTTGTAGAGAAAACAGGAGAGCATTTGGTAAGGACTGGTTCATCTTACAATAGTTGTTTCACACATTAAGCAGTGAATCCCTGAGTAATACCTGAGCTTTTACAGCTCTTACAAATGATCACCAATGCCCTTGATTTGTCTTCAAGCTTCTTGGTGACCTTTGGCAAATCAAAGCTATTGCCACAAGAATGTTGACAAGTAAATGTGCACAAGCTGCACCCTCAGTGCTCACTACAAGTGGTGTCTGCTAGCCCACAGTAGCCCTCAGCCTTCTAAATCTTCAGCAGTTTGTTGAGGTGCCCCTTGAACAGGACATGCTGTCCCAGCAGAGGCAGAAGCTGTTCCAGCAGCAGATGAATTTACATCAGCTGCTTTGAAGCAGCTTCCTTTGTGCATCCTGTAAGCCCACGATGGATGTGATGTAACTCCCAAACCATCTCTCTGTAGCAAGTCCTGCCTGTTTTGTGCTCTGTGCTTTTGGCTGTGCTTCCTGCAGTGCTGCTGACAGCTGATCTTGCTACACTCCTGTGTTGGATTAGATAGCAACATGTTTACTTGTGTCACACAATGTGAAGGAGTGTGCCTTACCCCACTTTGCCATTGAGATAGGAGCTGTATTTAGTATTAAGCTTCATGTTTCAGTTTGATTAATGGAAGTCTTACCTTTGTTTAAAAAAAAAAAAAAAAAAGTACACCAATCTAAGTCTGTCTGAGTGGCATTTACTGCTGGCATGACAAATGTCCTAGGATATTCAGTAGATTTCACTGATAACCATCATAATGTTGGTGTGACAGCTTTCCATAGAGTTTTTCAGCTGGTAGCATAGGAGAGCTCGATTTGGAAAGCTGAGGAATGTAGAATCCAGTGGCAGAAAGGTACAGATGAATAAATCTACACACCTAAGGAGGTTGGGTTTTTTCTTAACTGTGAGGCAAATACCATTTGGTGCAACTCACGTAGACCTTTGGATTTCCCAACTGTTGCCACATTGAAAATCAAAGCTGGGGCATTTCTAACTATTTGTGTCCTGGTTCAAGTGTGCATTCATCTGTGAAAGTTATCTGGCTTTGTGGGAGGTCAAAATAAAGAATCTCAGCCGTCCCTTCCAAACTGCTGGCAGTTTACAGTCCTGTGCTGCCTTCTGTGCTCCTCTGAGCACAGCTGTGTGCAACAGAGGTTGATGGCTGGAAGTCTTAACGTGTGAGAGCTGTGAAACTCTTTGTTTAGGATCGTTTATTTTTACTTAACAAATAAGCTCCTCTTCAAAATTCTCCATGCTCTGCATAAATCAGTCCCGTGTGCAGGTGCTGAATACCTCAAGCACAACCTTTTGCTTTCCTCCCAGGTCTGTTACCTCTAATCATCCTCACCAGATTTGTTTACTTCAATCAAATCAACTCAGTAGACTTTTCCCCAGAGAAAAACTGTTTGTAGATGGAAACAGATCATTCAGGCAGTGATTTGTGCAAATATGCACATCTTTGGTAATAGCATTCTATAAAACTTTGGGGAAATTTCAGGCTCACATGTGGTTCATACACTTCATGTTAAGCCTTGTTGCCTTGGAGCAAAAACTGTATGCTGCCAGCTGTGCACCTGCTGAACAGTAGCCAGGCAACAAAAACAGCAGTGTTGTCTGCAGCCTGGAACTGCAGCTTCCCTCAAAAAAAGATGAGGGATATTTTTGCAGTAGTTTGATTGCACCTTTGCATGTAACAGTGTCACAATCGTAAGTAGCAGGGGGGGTTGATCCCTTTTTATTTCCTACTGCTCTGTTTTACCTTTCAAAGCACTGTAATACCTGAGAACACTTTTAGAAGCAGTCAGCTGATGTTTCCCTTGTCCTCCTCAGCCGTGGAGAAACCATCTCTTACCTAAGGGACAACTTTGGTTATTTAGATAGGAGGAGATACATTTATTTACTTCTTTATTTTGAGCAGAAAACCAAACGCATAACAGATAAATAAAACAATGCATTGTATTGTATTGCATGAGTAAGGCTCAGTACTCCAGCAGCTATCTAAACTGGTTCAGGAATCACAGTAAATGCCAGGCAGTGAGATATTCAGCTTTTTTAATACACCAGAAATCAGAGAGACAATCTCAAAGTACAGCTGTTGCTTGGGATTTGTTGTTGTTAAAGATAGAAACTTTCTTTTCCCTGAAGAAAACCTATTAGATTGGAGTCAACAGCAAAACTGCTTGCTTCAGCTTGTTCCCTATCACTAATGGATGGAGTTTCCACATAATGGAACCAACACATTTATCAAAACAGACAGAACAAACTAGCAGCTACGTAATTATCTCTCATTCATGATCAATAATAAGCTTCTCAAATGATCACGTGCTTCCTAATCGAGCAATAAAACAGAAAGGATTTTAAATAATAGGATTTTAAATAGGCTCTGCAAAGCTTTAATTTTAACAATCAGTTTCCAGCAGTTTAAAGCCATCAGTGGAGGATCTGCCTGGTGAACTGCTGCATGTTCTCAGTTGTGTTTTGAATGCTAGGAAAATTTTAGGAAGCTAGAAAAAAAAACAACAAAAAAACACCTAACCCATCAGTATTTTTAATAGACCAATGAAATGATGCAAATGGGGAACTTAGCTGAATAACACCAATCAGAAATACCATGTGGTATGTGGCATGTAGTAATTGTGAAGGGAAGCATCATTAGCATTATCATCAGTAACACTGATTCGGACAACTCTGTGCAAATGAGACTCACCAGATGTGCTTTGCCATTACTATGCTGCTTACCTTAAAGTCCTTACGTGTACATCGCAGTTTCTGCAAAAGAAAATACAAAAATAATGTAATGTGAATCCAAACAATTCATGAAAGCATGCCTAACTTGTTGATTCTGTTCTCACCAATGGGAACTTTTGCTGCAAGATGTCCATAACAAGTATCTGCCATAAGGAGGAAAGTGTGGTACCTGATATTATTGTCAGTGATTTGTAAAACACGTATAATGGCACAATGAAGTCTGTAGATGATGATGAGACCATGAGGTGGCACGACAAATGCCAACACTGGTCGTATTCATCAACTTCACATACAAAGCACTCCTATCTCTACACGATGACCCAATGCAGAACTAATACTGTTAGCAGAGAGGCAGTTTTAAATTCCATTGCATTGCTCCTTGTGTTTTGCTTCACACAGTGCTTACTGAGCTGTCTTTCCATCTCTAGTCCCGACAGACACCAGAGGGGGAATTTCTGCCACTAGACCAGTGTGAGCTGGACGTTGGATTTGGAACTGGAGCTGACCAGCTGTTCTTGGTTTCTCCATTAACCATCTGTCATGAAATTAACTCAAAGAGCCCCTTTTTCTGTCTCTCACAAAGATCGCTAAGAAGCGAGCAGTTTGAAATAGTTGTCATCCTTGAAGGAATTGTTGAGACTACAGGTAAGACATTGTAACGTGGTGACACGTGTGCACTAATTGTAAGTCTTTGTCTTCAGTCTTGGCAGTTGTTGATCCTTGAATGCTCTGTAACATCCTATCATAATATCAACCTTCGTTGGTCTGCACCATGCTAAATGGTTTTCTTGGCCATAGGGTTCTGCACTACTGATTTAAGAATACATTTGAGACACTCTCTGCCAGTTCCTAGCTGGCCTCTGCAGGCATGTAGAGGAGCACAGCATTCTTACGTGACTCTTGTCCTAAGCTGCACCCCTGGTCTACTCACTTGCTTATGTTACAACGTCATTCTCTTGTCTCTGCCTCCACAGGAATGACTTGCCAAGCTAGGACCTCATATACGGAAGATGAAGTTCTTTGGGGTCACAGATTCCTCCCAGTGATGTCCCTGGAAGATGGCTTTTTCCGTGTCGATTATTCTCAGTTTCATGCTACATTTGAAGTCCCCACTCCTCCTTACAGCGTCAAAGAGCAAGAAGAAAACCTGTCTCTGTCATCCCCTTGGAATAGTCCTGTTGACAACAAAACCAGAAAAGAAAAGGTTTGTTCACTTGACTGCATTGATATCGCAGAAGAAAAAAACAAACTCCCTCTTAAACTTCAGAAGATTAGCTCAAGAAAGGAAGACCTTCCAAAAAGAGTCCTCAGAATGAGTTCTGGTAACGCAGGGAAGACTTGCAGTACTGGGGATCTCCTGAATATTCAAGAAATGAGTTCCATCTCCAACGGTGAAGACGGTGATGACAGGATACAGCTGAAAGCCTTAAAAATGAATGCTGAAGCTTAGGCTCAGTCCAGAAGATGCCTAAAAGTATGCGTGCTCTGAAGATGAAATTGGAAGATAATCTGCCTGCCAAACTTTGCAAAATAAACTCTGATCACCTCCCTTAAGAGCAGAAGCATATGAGTCATTGTTCACAAACAGCATTCAAGACTGCTAACCTGAAGGAGTTTTCGTATAGTAAAGAAATAATTAGGTTTTCCTACTTTCTGGAAGGATGATCCCTTTTGTATAATTGTTCTGTACAGATCTAATTTACGTAGCCTAATAGAAACTGGAGAGGCAGTAAGGTTAGACTGTTGTGCCAAAGAAGTCCCTGCCCTGATGTCATTTAGCAGCATGCTCATTGCAAATCAACACTGTCTTCCGTACTCGTAGATGCTTTTTCATGAAGCATGGACCAAATCCTTGGAGATCATCCCTAGAATTGACAACCTTCTCTACGGAAATGACCAAAAAGATATCAGTGAAGATTTGCACCTCAAGTGCTGGCATTCAGTACCTCTTTAAAGTGTTACACGGAGTTTTCTACATGACTAGCTTGAATGAGAGGGAAAAAACACTCTTCTGGTTTTAAAGCTGAAGCTGCTTGCCTTACTGAGCGTCAGGATACGGTGAGAACTGGAACCCAACTCAATCCCAACACAAGAAGGACGCTGAGCTGTTGGAGTGGCTCCAGAGGAGAGCTGTGAAGATGACCAAAGGGCTGCAGCACCACTCCTATGAAGAAAGGCTGAGGCAGCTGGGCATGTTAAGGTTAGAGCAGGCTCCAGGAAGACCTTATCATGGCATTCCCACACTTGAAGAGAGCTTATAAGCAGGAGAAGGACTGACTTTTTACGCAGTCTGATAGCGATAGGACAAGGAGAGCTGGTTTTAAACTAAACGAGGGGATATTTAGGTTGGATGAAAGGAGGAAATTCTTTGCATAGAGGGGGATGAGGCTCTGGCACTGCTGCCCAGAGAAGCATGGGTGCCCCATCCCTGGAGGTCTCTAAAGCCAGGCTGGATGGGGCTCTGGGCAGCCTGATCTGCTGGGGGGCAGCCAGCCCATGGCACAAGGTTGGAACCTGATGATCCTTAAGGTCTCTTTCAGCCTAATCATTCAACGATTCTTAACCACCCCATGGTTCTACACTCCCAGCATAACCCTATTTCCATTCAGCCGTCCTGCTGCCCTCCTCTATATGTGAAAGCAGTTGTTTTCCTCTCAGCTGGCAGTGGGGGGTCTCACAACCCAAATCCAAAGCTGTTCCATCCCACGTCCAGCACAGCAGAGCATCCCATGAGGGAACGATCCCACCCGCCATCCGTGGGCAGAGCAGGCTGAGATGAAGAGGTGACTGCAGCCCCGCGCTGTCATTTTGCACAGGTGCAGCTGTCTGTGGTTGTTCTCCTTCCCCTCCCCCCCAACCTTCACCATTATATACGTGCTGAAATCTGTGCTTTTACACATTAAACGTACCACGCTGGGATATTTAGATCACCCGCAATGACTCACCCCAGAACATCCAGAACCGACAGACAATAAAATCACGTTCACTTTGGGCCTCGAGCGTTCTTATGAGTCAGTCAGCGCGGAGCCCAAGTGACGCAAAGACAAGAAAGACTTCGCTTCTCCACAGAGCTCCGCGCCAGCGCTGCCCTCTGCTGCCCGGAGCGGGGCGAGGCAGCGGCTGCTCCTCAGCCTCAGAGCGCGCGGCTCCGCGCATGGGCGCTTCCGCCCTACGGCGGGACGCATGCGCAAAACCGCCGCTCGCCCTGCCCTGCTGCCGCGCAAGCGCGCTGCCGTCTGCCTGAACGGCAAGCATGCGCGTTGCTGCGCCCGGAAAACTCGCGCGCCGATTGCTTGCAGAACGCATGCGCAGTGAGGCTGTGCGCGCGCGCGCCGCGGCCCGACGCATGCGCACTACCCCTTGCTGAGGCGCCCAGTAGGCCTTGGGTGAGCTGCTGCTCCCTCCAGAGACCCGGAGCCGCAGCGCTGCGAGGAGCGGGCGGCAGGAGCGATGTCACCACCACTGACTGGGCCACACCTCTGCTGGGCCAAACCTGTCGGAATGTGACAGCGCATTGGGAGCTGTAGTCCTCCAGCCAGGAGCTGGGACATGTAGTCTTCCGGAAGCACTTCCGGTCAGCCATATCGGACCGCGTTGCATTCTGGGATTGGTAGTATTTAGCACCGCACATCTGGCGGCCATGATGGCCGTAGGGCACCCTGGGAGATGTAGTCTTCTCCCTTCACCAGCGCTGGCATTTACCCAAAAGATGACTTCGCCCCAAGAGGCCTTTGTCTTGCTTCGCCTCATCAAATACGTTTTTAACCGGCGACAAAGCCATTATAAACACCATGATACTTATGCCTGTCAGCGTGGGGTTCACTAGGGCACAATTCAGGCATTAAAGTCAGGATTTGTGAGCATCCCTCTGGCCAGGATGGCTCCACACCGTGCATCCATTATGGGCACGTCCCCTGCTGCAGATTATGCTGCTCCGTTCCTTTTCCCTCACCATGCAAAACAAGCATTTCCCAAAGAGGGAAAACAACACGTGGAAATGGTGATAACTGGGAAAGGTCCCAGAAACCACAGTGCAAACCACAGCACTGGGGTGATCACTGATGAGCTGGTTTGTCAATAATCCCCAACATCCCCCCTGAATCACAATGGGGCATCTGAATCCCCAAGATCTGCTGGACCCCATTTATGCCCCACCCCTGTTCCCCGGCCCAGGGCTGGTGACACCCATGGGGCGAAGGCTCAGAGGCAGCTTTCAAAAATGGCAAAACTGGAAGAAAATGGGCCCTTTGTGCAGGGAAGAGCCGGAGGGCACTTCAGGCAGGGTGACACTAGCAGCAGCACCGGCTGAAGTGCTGCTGTACGGTGTTGGGGACACAGCATGTTTCCCATTGTCCCTGATCCAGCCTCTAAATTCAGGGGGATGAAAGTAAGTCTGAATTCTCCCAGTGGGGATAGGGAATTACATCTCCGGAGCTGGGATGGAGGCTCTGTGTTCTTCTGCTTATTTTGAAGCTGCAGTCTCCACACTCAGCATCTCAAGCCCAGTGCAACTCAGTGGGAAAATCCATCCTCATTGCAAAAACACAGCCTGAAATGGCAGATAGATATAAAAACCATCCGGCATCATCAGCCCTGAGCCACGATTGGCGCATGGGACAGGATAGGATCTGAAAGCCATCACAGCACACAACAGCTGCACTAAACCCCCACAGACCTCCTGCTCACTGCCGGAAAAGCAGCGTTTCCTCTCCGCAAAGCAGCCAGAAGCGTTTGACACCTCTTTGCACCCCAGGGATTGATGTGAACGAGGCCACGGAGCTTCGTACCGCAGCAACACAGGGCTCAATCCCACTAACAGGCAGCAAAGGCAGCATTCCCTTTTCCCAGGACTGCAAGCTGTCACCTACATTGGAGTCTTTAACACTGCTGCAGCCATCCACTGTATTTTAGGGGAACATTCCTCCACAGGGCAAAACCTTAGTAAGCCAAGATGCCAGCCCGGGCTGCAAGAAGCGGCTCATTGTCCTCCAGCGATGCAGCCGTGGCGATGTCAGGAACAAAAAGCCTCCTCTTGTGCAGCCTCCCAAGCGTCCCCCAGCCCTGAGTGCTCCCAGAAAAAAAATGTATGGCATGAGATGTGCAAACGCCGGAGAATTCAAGTGCCCATCGGCCAACAGCCCCAGGGGTGTGCATCCCAAGCTGCTGCAGTCCTGCCCTAAGCCTTGCAGCCAAAAACCACTGAGCAGAGGGTATTTGTGCACGATGACTTCGCTTTTGTTTCCTTTTTTTCCCCTCATTCTTTTTGCAATCGATGCATTCCCTGAGCCACCTCCATTTCCACGTGTGTGTTGCTGTTGTTGTTTCACGACATCCTTCAGATGAGAGAATTGCTTCCAGCAGAAATTCAATTTTTCCAACCCAAAATGTGCTTTTGGTTTGCACACAACAGGACGGGGCTCAGACTGCTACCGCATTCCTCCTGCCCGGACCTGAGCCCGAGCAGATCCAAGCCCCACACAGGGCATGTAACCCAGTTAATCTCAATGAGCATTTAAATCAAATTAGTTAAACTACATTAAACCCCTGTGAGGACACGGTTCAGAGTGGAAACGGCCTTAATGTGATTTCAGCTGACTTCCCTGCCACAATTTGCAAGTCAGAGAAATCGAGTTAAAGGCTGTTTTCATTCTGAACTCTGTCCACACAGGGCCTTAATGCAGTTTAATTAATCTGCTTTAAAATTGAGCCTGTCTTTCATTTGGGCAACTTCACCTGACTCACCCCGGGGAAGCAAACCCGCCTGGCACAGCTGTGCTGAGTCTGAGGCTGGAAAATCCTGGAGGGTCTGGAGCAAGCTGTGATTATACCTAATCCCAACAGGCAACATTTTGGGGTGAAGCCGCTTGTAGCAACCACCCATGTGGCTGGAATTGGAAACACTGGGCTTCCCAGAGTCCGGCAGAGCCGCGGGCACCGGGGCCAGGCTGGCTCTGCTGGCCTGGATGCTGCTCTCGATGCTTATCGCTGCTTAACAAAGTTTCCTCCTCGGTGGCAGAGAACAGCAGGCTGAAAGCAGCTGCATTAATCCCTGTGCTGCTCCCAGCGAGGCTGTAATGGCTGCTAATTGCCGGCCAGCAGCCCCAGGAAGCTGGGGCTGAGCAAGGGAACGCTGTGGCCCTTAAAACGAACAGCCCTGTTATGTTCCTCACACCACCCAACCATTTCCTAGCTCCTTCCTCACACCGTCCAGCCATTCCCCAGCTCCTTCCCCCCCACCTCCCCAATTTAGCTGAAAAAACAGAAAAGGGGAAGGGATGGAGCCTCATCCACATCCCTTTCTATTCATTCCTCTACCCCACAGGGCTGTGCTGTGGGGTCTGCTGCAGATCCTGCTGCTGGAACACAGGATGTGATCCTGAGCCTCCAGCAGAGCTCCCAGCAGCAGGTACCTGGCTCCCCAGCAGCACAGCGTGCTGCAAGCAGGGTTTACTCCATTGCTCAATTCCCATTTTCTCTGTAAAGGTAAAATGCGTTCCCCATAAAGGAGTTCCAATTAAAAGGGAGTTAATGACTTAATGAATCAGAAGAAAATCTGCTTGCATTAGCAGTGAACCACTGACCCTCTTCTCGTTGTGGCTATCAGCTTTTTAATTGGATACATTTTTATTTCCTTCCCAACAAATGGACTATTGGCTGAGCATGTGCTCAGAGAGCAAAGGGGACGTGTGGGGGAGCAGGAAAAGCCCAGCCTGGAGGGACCCCCCCAGCACCCATCCCACAGCAGCACTGACCCAAACCCTCAGCCGTACCTCAGCTTCTGCTCTTTATCTCCCACTGGTGAAGATTGCAGCATTGCAGACAAAGGCTTCTGTGATGCTCAGGGCTGTACAAACCAAAAAATAAGGGTCAGACACTACACCTATACTTACAGCCCCAGGAGGGGCTGAACTCTCCTCCTCATTAGCTCATTAACTGCTTGTTAATTCCCTATCACATGATGAGGAGCATAATGAGGAGGCTTTCCTCTTCCCAAAGCTCAGCACAGTCATGCTCACCTGAAGATGCACTCAGCTGCTCATACCCCAAGCAGCACTATGTGTCATCTTTACCCCCAGCCTTGGGGGCTCCTCTCTCTTCTTTTCCCCTCCCCTTTTTTTCTTTCTTCTGACACCTTCATCACTTCTCCCATCCATCTGCTGCCCCCCCTCTCCCCCTCCAGGAGTGCACCCACCCGAACACAGTGGTGATCAATGCTTTGCTGTGCTGCCATTCATGTTATATTCATTGCTGGCTGCACTCTGCCCTGCACCCCATTGCAGAGGGGCTCTAAAAGCATTTCTATTTGTGCCCCTGTGTTACAGGAAGCTCTGCAGGGTGATGCCCTGTGCTAGCACAGGCATGAAGGTGGGCAGAGGGGTGGTGGAGAAACCTTGGGTCCTCTTTTGGAGCCTATTTTTGGG